AGGGACCAGGGAGGTGTGCCCTGAAAGGCCCATCTCTAGGAGGGACTTGGAAGCCAACAGAAGTGATTTAAAGAACATGCATCACTCCCTGGCTCAGGGAGGCTGGGAACTGGGTGATGCCCAGGGTTAGCTGTGAGGTTCTGACTCTGCCTCTCATGGGAAGATGGTCTGAAAGCGTGGAGGGTGAACCCTGCTTCTTAGAGGTGTCCTGCTCAGCATCAGTGGTTGGGTCCATCTCTTCCTCTTACTCCTTGGGTCTGACCAGAGCAGCTCTCTCTGACCACTTTGTTTCCCTAAAATCTCATTTCTTTCCAAGAGGCAATGAAAGATAGTGATTAAGAGGGAGGACCTTGGACTCAGAGTGTCTGGGTTTAAATCCCTCCTTGCTATTTACCAGTTGTGTGGTCCTGAGCAAAAAGTTTAGCCACTTTGTGCTTGGGTTTCCCCATCTGTAAAATGGGTAGTAATAGTATCTGTCCCATAGGACTGTGATGAGTTAATACTTAGAACAGTACCTGGCATACAGTAAATGCTCAGTAAAGGTTTGTCATTATTTTACTGCAAAGGTGTTTTGGCTTTCTTCCTGTAGATTGCAGCAACCCCAGAAGAGAATGTGACAGAGAACTTGTGCTAGATGTGAGCTCTAAGCAGGAGGAAACCAGACAAAGAGAAAGGGCTGGATCATTTTAAGTGTTAACAGTGTGCTCAGCACCATGTTTAACAGAGGTTATTTTATGCCATTCTCACAGTTTTTTGAAGCATATATATTATTATGCCCACTGTGCGGATGAGGAAGGTAAGGCTCAAAGCTTTTTGAAAAGCAGATTTCCTGCTGCTGCCTTGTTTAAAATTTCCAGCTTGCCATTTGTTTTAGGATAAAATCCCAAATCTTTAACCTATCCCGTAAACTCCTCCATAATCTGATTCCAGCCCACCCTCCCGTTCACCCCTGGTCACTCTCGGTACTCCTGTCTGATCGGCTGTTCATCAACTTCCTACACCCTCCCACTTCCGAGTCTTCACACAGGCTATTTCTTCTGCTTGAACCTGACTTCTCCTTCCTTTTTTTGCCTAGACAATTCGTATTCATCCCTCAGGTCTGAACACTTCTCCAGAGAAGTCTTCCTCAAACTGTCAACCTTCATCACTCCCATCCCCACCTCCAAGATTAGATGAGGCTCCACTCATATATGCTTTCACAGTAACCTGTGTCTTCTTCATAGCACCTCTTACAACCGTCATGAAATGCTCAACTGTGTGTGTTGTTTGTCTTACTAGACTGCAAGCCCCATCAGGACAGTGTCTGTGTCAGTCAGGAGAGACTGGGCTCGGTAGTGGAAACAGAAATCCCAACCCTTATGTTTCTCCCTTATGTAACATGTCTCGTGGGGCTGAGCAAAGGCTCCACTCCACCTTGTCACCTAGAGACCTAGGACAGTGGAGGCCTCAGCACCTTGTGGCTGCACTATGTGGAACACTGGCCTTTTCGGTGGCTGCAACACGGCAAGAGAAACACTGGAGAATCATATGTGCATAGGTCAAATACAGGCACAGCACAGAACGGGGGCACACACACTCTGCCCAACTGCAAGGGGGCTGGGACCTACAAGAAGAGCAGGTGGATTATTTGATCTGCATAGGATCTTAACCAACGTGTTCCCTGTGTGTTCTCCGTGCCTAGCACATTGCGTGGTACATAGTAGGAGCCCCAAAATATCAGCTGAATGAATGAGCGTGTCAGTGTAAGTCTATCAAGATCACTGTAGCCAGCACATGGTGATGGGGCAGGGCTTTGGACCACGATCCTCCTATTTGCAAAACCTTTGGGCTTTGCACTCTATCTTGTTGTCGCCCCTGATTTATGGAATGCTTTTTCTCTCTCCATGTAGAGAACAGAATATCATGCATTTAGCCACTTAATAGATTTGTTTTTCCTGATGAAGGTGATGAAAGTTGCATGTCCTCCAATCAGCCTTGCAATCAGCCATTCATCCACTCACCCAAGACAAGTGGCAATTCAAAAGCAGCTAACGTTTCTTAAGTGCCTACTGTGTGCCAAGTGTGTGATTCCAGCTAAGGCACACAAAAGCTCAGTGCGGTGAGCGCTGTGTTTCCTGCTTTGCAAATGAAGACACTGACGCTGGGAGTGAAGCCTAGACCCAGATGCAGACCTGCTGGCTGAAGTCCAGCGCTCTTCCCCCAGAGCAGTCAGTGGCTCTTACAGTAGAGCAGGCATCAGAATCACCTAGAGGACCAGAGGAAATGCAGATGGCTGGGCCTCCCCCTAGTTTTCATTCAATAGAAACAGGGGAGGTGGTGAGGGGGCCTGAGAATCTGCATTTTTAATGCACTCTCAGGTAACACCAGGTGACAGCTCCAGTACCTTTGTTCTGAGAATGGCTTCCCTATAGCGTGCTGTGTGGAGAGGGTGAGGAGCGCTTCCTCTGTTAACTTCCTTCTGGTGTCATGCACGGAGGAGCATGGGGGTCAGGAACATAACATCTCGGGTGGTTGGTATTTGGTCCTTCTCTGTGAGGCTGCCTGCAATAGAAGTCTGTAAAATGAAGGGGTTGGACGGGATGAGCTCTGGGGTGCTCTGCAGATCTGACACTCTGTGTTCTGTGATTGGATGAGCTAAACCAAAGCTACAGATTCCATTTAAGTCTCTTCCTAGGTGGGAAGTGCTATAGACTAAAAACTGTGTAACAGTAAATACCCAGGGAAGTCAAGGAGTAGCCACTGTGTGCTCAGCATACTGGAGGGCTGTGGGGAATCCAAGACAAGTGTAAGATATGACCCTGCTACTCCAGGCACCAACAGCCTGGTTGTGGAGACAAAACACACACTTGAGACCATGATAGTTTCAGGATATAACCAAGTGCTCATTGGTGTGAATCTGGTGAGGAGCTACCTGCGGGGTTTAGGGAGCCCCAGGGGGGAGGTAAGACTCCTGGAACCTAGGAATTTGAAAACCTATAGCTAACATTTGTGTATAGCACAGTATTTTAGCCCACATGAGCTCCACAGCATGGCATGAGGTGAATATTTTGAAGATGAAGAAGCAGACTCAGAGACTTGCCCAAAGTCAACTTTTATTAAGTAAAGAAATTGGGATTTGAACCCCAGCCTGCTAACAGAGCCCTTGCTCTGCAAATGGCTCAGGAGGTGAAGCAAGGGAGATGGGAGGTACTAGCAAAGACGTGGCAGGTGCATCCCATCCAGGCCATGTGGAGAGCCTTGGGTGAGATGAGGTGGCAGAGAGGTTGGGTGAGCAAAGTGAATGTCAATTGATATATCTGAAAAGCAGCCCTAGGGACCCTGAGTACAATGAAAATACTAACAATCATGGAATGGGCACAAGGAGTGTTTTATTAGGGTTGGTTCAAAAGTAATTGTGGTTTTTGTCATTAAAGAAAAAGCAACAGCAAAAACCTCAACTACTTTTGCATCAACCTAAGACATCTCTAACACGTTCGTTTCATCCAGGGATGTTTGTGGGGAGTGGCCAGGGCTCGGATACATCAGTGCACAGTAGTGGACTTACGCCAGATCCTGGAGGCTCTGAGTCTCTGCCACATCTCTCCAGGCCATTGATGGTCCAGACATCTTTGTGTGAATTAGAAAAAAAGATATCCCTTCCTCCAAGAAGTTGCAACTCTGGCCGGGCGTGGTGGCTCACTCCTGTAATCCCAGCACTTTGGGAGGCCGAGGCAGGTGGATCACCTGAGGTCAGGAGTTCAAGACCAGCCTGAAACTCTGTCTCTACTAAAAATAGAAAAATATTAGCTGGGTGTGGCGGTGGGCACCTGTAATCCCAGCTACTTGGGAAGTTGAGGCAGGAGAATGACTTGAACCCAGGAGGCGGAGGTTTCAGTGAGCTGAGATCTTGCCACTGCACTCCAGCCTGGGCAGCAAGAGCGAAACTCTGTTTCAAAAAAACAAACAACAAAAAAAGAAGTTGCAGCTCCATGTCAGGACAGAAAGCTTGGCTAGAGGGTAGGCTGGATCCCTGTCCCCATCCATCCCCACATGCTCTTTTGTCTTATAGCCTGGTCAACGCCTAAATCTGTACCACTGCATCTTGTAGGCTTGCGTCCCTCCCACCATGTGTGCGTGCACGGCACCACACACACACACACACACACACGTGTGCATAAACCAACACCCTCTCCTTGCCCCAGGGAATTATTTACTTGTGGGGTGGGGGATACCAGAAACCTCTGTGACTTCAACCCATTTCATTTCCTCCTTCCCAGCAGACTTTTTAACAGAATTTCTTCTAAGAAGGTTTGCTGGCCAGGCTGGAAGCAGCAACTAGAATGAAATCCACAAGGTCAGGGAGAAGCAGAGCAGGTGACACTGTATCTATCTGACTCTAGGGATACAGTAACAAAGGAGATGGTGCAGAGAGGCACCAAGTCAAGGGCAGATGAGGCTTGGGAGGCTCTCCCTTCCCCCATCAGACTGTTAACATGGAATACAAAGCTCAAGTCTTTATTACCGAAAAAAGAAAAAGTAGCAGCAGGAGAAGAGCGGGAGGCGGTAAGAGGGGAGAGAAGAGGGAGCCACATGCTGAAATCAATACTGCCCAGGACAAGCATTATCCCATGTGGAACACCTCAAGCCTCTGCCTAGAAAATTTGATTGGATCTTCAGAAAAACCTATTAGTGTGTTGTCAGGACCTTCTGGTGATAACTGACCAGCCCTTGCCAATCGATGCTCTTCACTTGTGGAGCTCCTGATTTTTTAACAGCATAATTGTTTTTTTAATAACGGGCTGGCTCACCCACTCCAGCAAGCAGGGAGTCAAAGTCAGACTCCTAACTTAAAATATAGAGAAACGCGATGCTCCAGCCACTTCTTCCTAATTGCACAATTACTTTATGGAGCACCAGGGATGGAAGGCTGCAGTGGGGGTGTGTTTTTTTTTTTTTCAGCCAAGCGAGGTTGTTACGTCACAGAAGTAATTACACATGTCAAAATTATTTACTAAATGAAAGCCATTCTTCACCAAGGAGTCTTTATTTATTTTTTATAAAGAAAAAGAGCAAAAAGAAGATGATCCCAGGATGGCGACGACATCATAAAGCAACAATGGAATTAGTCGTCAATTATTACAGCTTTTTAATTTTCAACTCAAGAGGGAGCAACGCATATTTTCCTTAGGGTTTTAAATGCTCTACAACAACAGCAGTATTTTTGCTCTTTACCGTGCCTAGGATCTGAGATGTCAAAGCACTTTACAAATAACTTTGGGATTGAGGCTCTGTACAGCTGGAGAGCAGGGCCCAGGGAGGAAGCGATTTGCCCAAGGTCATGGCTGAATCAGAGGCACAGCTGGAAACACTACTCATGAATACTGGCTCCTGGAGTCAGAGCTCATCACCACCAGCCTGCCCACCTCCCACACACACCAAAACAAAACCCCTAAGCCAGAAAACGGCAGTGGACAGAGAAGTCGCCTGCTCTTCACAGCCCAGGGTGTTCACACTGACAATTTGCTGTACAGATTGGAAGCTGGGTGTACAGGTCAGAGATCTCTACAGATTGCCGTTGCTGGACCCAGGAGAATCAGTCACTAAGGAAAGCTAAAAGTTCACTCTGCATAGTTGGGTAGCTCAGCTTTCCATCCTGAGCCCCCAGGTGTATATGTCAGATTCTGGTCTTCCGGGAGAGGTTGACGGCCCATGCGACAGTTCACTCTGCCCACCTGGCAGGTCTGGTTCTTTTCTGGGTTGGCTCCCTCCAGAACTTGCTCTACGTGCCCAGAGTTGGGGTGCAAGATTCAGAGAAGAGAGAGCGAGAAAGAGAGGGAGAGAAAGAGGAAAAGAAAAGAAAAGAAGGAAGACAGAGGAGAGACTGTTTGGAAGCCTGTGCAGTCCCTAGAACCTCTATTTATGAAGACTCCATTCCACACTGTGTTACATATATTAGGATCCCATGTTGAGTACAGTTTCTGATTATTTACCAGTTCAGTTAGGCTGAATTTTGCTGGTGACATTATTATGGTTTTGTAGATATTTAATTAAACAATTAATACATTTGATTTTATAGTTTTCTGGCCTTCCCTGGATTTTAGAGCCCATATATATATATATTATTTTTTTTTTCTTTCCAGGTCTCAAGTATGTTCACAGGCTCTTGAAATGTTTCTAGGGCACAGGCACTATGCTTTCTGACCTTAATGGAGAAAACGGCTTAGAGAGATAGAAGAAGGGAGACGTGGGGAAAAAATGATGTCGACAGTGACAGAGCAAGAAACAACATTTTAAAAACCAAACCCAAACAAAAATTTAACAAAGCATACAGAGGAAGTTCTCAAAACTTTAGAATTGCTGGTTAGAAAGAAAAAGGAAACCCAGGCCTTACCAAGATATTTCTAAGAAAGAGACAGACACTTGAAAGACCCATCCAACCAGGGATGAAAAAAAAATCTCTTATTATTCAATAATTTATTGAGCACAGGGCCAGATACTGCACTTGGCTTCGGAGATATGGAGCTGGATCAGATACGGTCTCTACTCTCCAGGAATTTACTGTTTTTATTGAGGGAGATGGAAAGGTAAACAAACAGTTCAGATATGTGATAAGGACACAAATTGAGGTAAGCATGAGGAATTGAAAAAGCACAGAGAAGCAACCTGAAGGAGGCAGAGACATTCTCAAAAGGAGGAGGACACCCCCTGAATATTCAAAGGCACAGAGGTGGGATAGGATAGGGGCCAGGGGCCATGGGCAGTGGAGGATCTCAGGGTAACACTGAAAGGCCGAACTGAATTGAAGGCAGATTGTGAGGATTTGGATTTAGTCTGCAGTCAAAAGTGAACCAAGAGTGGTTCCCCAGCAAGGGAGGGATGGTGAGGGGCCTGGGGGAGGAGGAAGGGAAGCCAGACCAGAGGCTGCCACATTCCTTCATTTGAAGGTAAAGGGCCTGGACCAGGTGAGTGACAGGGAAATGATGCATTCGAGTCAAGTTTGAGAGTATTTAGGGGCAATGGGCAGGAATTGGAAACCAGTAGAGGCAAATAACCCAGGTTTTTAGTTTGGTAGACTGATTAAACTGAGATGGAATATAAAGGAAGCAGTAGGCTTAGAGGAAGCTTTTCATTTCCCCAACCCTCAGGATCCTAGAGCAGGTGCCATGCTAAGGGGGATGATGTCGCAAAGACTCCCCTGAAAAGTTGCCAGGGAAAGCCAGCAAACAAGGGGTGTAGGGAAACAAAGTCCTGATAGGTTACGATTTTCCTTTCGGGCCCCTCTATCCAAGACAGAAACACAGCTCTAGGGGCCCAACACTAGAAATCTGTTCATTCTGCCACAGAAGAAAGGGGCGTGAAGCGAATAGAGACAGAGAGGGGACATGATAGATACCGCCAAGGCCATGTGGAGCGCAGGGCGGAGGCTCTGCTGTGATTCATGGTTGAAGGGAGTTTATTGGAAGTTAGCTAATAAAAGCTCCCAGCTATACTCAGGGATCTGTGTTCTCCCTGGCTGGCAACACACTCTACATAATACTTGGTGCAGTGGCAGAGTCGAATGGAGACACAAATATCTATCCATCACACCAAATTCATTGGGTTAAACTCCCATCACCCGGAGCTGACCCTTTCCTACCGGAGGAAGTAATGAGCTAGAAATAAGTGCTTATCTGAAGCTGAGTCGAAGTAAATCTGCAATCACGGACACTTCAAATGGTAACTTCCTTCGGTTTGGGCTTTTCAAACAGATGGAGACTCTAGCATGAAATTGCCAAGATTAAAAAGAGAATGCTAGTTTAACACACAAGGCTGGGGAAACAGCCGGGGCCATCTACGGAGCAGGATTCCCATGTCTTGGCCAGAGACTTGCTCAGCATTCACGGGAAGCAAACAGCCCCAGAGCAAAGCAACTGGATTTCTTTCTTGGTCTTCCATGTTGGCAGAGGGAAGACAAACGAGGACACTCCGGTTTGGGGACGGCATGAATGAACCACACGTGTCCATAAATAAACCCGGAGCCCCCCAAACACGCGGCTTGCTTGTTCACACAAAAGCCAGCCTGGCAGCCCTCTCGCGGAGCCATGTTCACAGTTGGATCCTTAATGCATTGTGAGTGTTCAATCAAACTTTTAGTGGTGAAACTCTGGGAGCAGAAAGCCAGCTAAGCCCAAATGGTCCCTTTGCTTTTCCATCTTTTGTGGCTGCCTGGCTGTGCTCTTATGGGTTTTGTTGTCAACAAACTCCTGGCTTGCCTTTGAGCACTCCAAATTATTGAAAATGACTACAGCTTAAGACTGGCAGGATGATTGTTAAAAACAGCCCTGGCATTAATCATAGCTTAAGAGCTTTTGGAAAATGATTCTAATTCAGAAGGGGTGGCTTACAAAGAGGCTTGTCGAAAATGAAGCAGACGTCAAATTCTGAAAGGCAAAAAGCCTCCTTGGTACCCACACCTGGCTTCTTCTGCAATCCAGCTGGCAGAACTACATAGGGGGCACGGCTTACCCCACCAGCTCACCCCATCTGAGACCATCTTGAGTTTTCCGCATGAGTCCTGTATCATCCCTACCTCTGATATGGGGATCTTGAGATGGGAGAGACTTCAGGGAGCACCAGCAGTTACAGTCTTCCTGGCAGTCCTAGGACTAAGGAAGAAATGGCCTTGTTTTCTGTCAACAGTTGGAATGCCTTAGACCAGTGCTAAAATAAGCTGTGTGCATAGAGGCAGCTGCGTAGGCAAACACATGGTCAGCATTTGCAAGGAGCCAGGCAGGGCGACAAGCTAATACTTCTGCCTTTTGCCTGCCTGGCACAACAAAGGAGAATGATTTTTGCCATCAGCATTCTCCCTATCACGGAATCATTGCACAATTTAGTATGATTAATGGTTTCCATTTAGGAGAAGCTGAGAATGAAAACAGCGGGAGAGTGGTGGCACTCACTGGGGGTGTCTGCAGCTGATACTAGAGTGAAAGGGAGAGAGAGCTGGCCATTGCCTGCCAGCCCATATCCTCCAACCTTTACTTCCAGGCACGACTGGGGAGACACAGTTGGGCAGAGACACATGGCTTTGACATGCTTTTGCAGAAACAGTCTGAAAGCTGCAAACTTGTGAGGCACTGTTTGCTGTTTCATTCTTTCAGGCTTCCCAGTATCTGTGACTGGGAAGCCACTCCCTTCTACCTGCCAAAGGGAGTGCCAATCCCAGAAGACCCTAACTAAGGGCTGGGTCTGAGAGTGGTCAGGGCACAGTGATGGAGCTAGCGGAACTAACTACACCACTTCTTAAAATTCCTGATGGCCACGCGGAGATGCCACACAGGGAAGAAGGGACCCCTCTCTTGTGCTGGGAAGGTAGGGTGGCATCCAACATAGCCGTCTGTCTCTGGAGCGCCCAGCTGGTGGTGGACCTAGTCTCAGTGCTCATCTGGTGGCTTTCCTGGGAGTTCTTCTTCTCCCCTTGGTAGCATCCTTTTCTTTCCACTTCTGTAGACATGGCTTCTTTTCAGGTCTTACAGCTGCTGCAGGTGAGTGGTGAGACAAAGGGCGCCATAGCCAGAGACTTGTGGGTGCTGATAGAAACCAACCGGGAAAACACAGAGAATTCAAGAGGGCCTGGATTTTTTTTTTTTTTTTTTTTTTTTTTTTTTTTAGCAATAGCCTTTGGAACTGAAGCCAGATAGAGAGAAAATTGGTGATCTTGGCTGGGGCTAACGTGACTCAAGGCCCTTCTCGATGCATTGGTGTCTCTGCAAGGAAATCTATTATTTTCCATAAACTGTCTTAAGCATCTCCCGGGCTACATTTCTGGCTGTGTTAAGAATCAAGCCATCAAGAACAGCTGTGAATGTTACACACTTTCAGCGGCAGCAATGGGCTTTGGCAGGGAAGTGGGAGCAAAAAACCCAAGCAGGACATTTCAGTTGACAGTAATGGCATTTTCCCTTCCTTGTCCAAACGATAAAAGATTCATGTTCCTAATTGCAACACTATAGCTGCCCCCATCACTTTATTCTGGGAGAGGAGGTTAGAGAAAACAGGCCTAGAGAGAGGGAGAGAAAGAGAAAGAGAGAGAGATGGATAGTAATTTCGTCACTAGCTAACAGAGACTGATTAGTGCAGAAGATTCCCTTCCATAGCAATACTTTCTAATCAGGTCTGCTGTGTCTGGGCAAACAGCTTTTGTGGATTAGCTAGACTTGAGCTTGCCAGCATCCACTGCAAGTTTAAACGATGAAATACACAACTACAGAGAAAACAAACCAAAAAGAGTAATAAAGTCACACATTTCAATATTCAGCAACCATTAAGGGATTTAAATATTTGCTTGCTATTAAAGGCCTGCATTAGGCTCTTCCAACACCAGCTCTGGAAGACTGAAATATCAATTACAGATCAATTTTCCCCCTAAGTAAACACTAATGCAGGATAAACAGTATTAGAAGATGCAATAGTAACATTGCTGACTTCAGGATGGACTTCCTGCTGGTAACAGCAAGTTTAAGCCTGGTGATTAATTAACCTGAGAAGATAGCTCTTCAGGAAGATTTGAGGCGGTCATGTCTGAAATATGACTGTGAACCTGTGCACATCTGGAGGGTAGCTGAAGTCCCAGGCCCAGAGAACCGGTTGATTTGCCCCTCAGTAGTGGTCCTCACTTTCCCCAGCCCAACACTTTGAAGGATTAGGATGGAGTAAAATGGGAGGCGGAGGTGGGTGTGCTTGCGTGTGAGAGATAAAGCAGTAGACAAGGTCAGTCCCTTGTTGGAATTAATTCCGCATTTCAATAGGCAAGGCTCGAGTTGTATTTCCCAACACTGACCACCAGGGGCAGTAGACGTTTTATGTTCATTTGGGAATGAAAAAAATCAAAAAAAACATAAAAGACAAAACAAAGTTTCCTGTGTACTGAAGAGCCTGGAAGCTGAGGATTGGAAGACAGAGAAGATTTTTGCTTTCAGGCCTCAGTTCAGGGATGCTCATGTGTAATGATGTGAGAGCGTGGTGGGGACACTGACTCGTGCAGCTCCTACTAGAGGCATATTTCAACGTTTTGAGAAAAACACAAATAAGGCAAGGACTATGGTTTGCACTTTTAAAATATGCCATATCGCATTCCGAAGTCCCCTCACAATGTATGATACAATGCTAAGGCTTTGCTTAGCCATTACCCAAAATGTTATTCCCTGATATTATTCCAGTGGGTCCTTGAGAATGATGGGGCCAATAGCTCTCAAGACTGGCTGGCTCAACTCTTCAAAGCCGCCTGTAGGAAGGATGGACATGCAAACATCAACGTTTGAAATACAGCACAGGTGGCCCATTCAGATTAGGTTTAACGTAAGGCTCAGGCAGCCAGGTGCTTGACTATTCTCCCTTTAATCGGCTGGTACTTGCTGGGTGACTACTGTGTGACTTCCAGACTTTAATATGGTACTGAGCCACAAGGTCATGGATGATGGCCAAGAGTCCCTTCTTTCTTCTGTACAGGGGGCCAGGACATCAAGTGCTTCAAAACTATACATGTATGGCTGTGAATACACATTTCACCCTGAAGGAATTTGGCTGCCATTTCTTCATGACAAAGCGCTGTGTATTTGGGATCCTGGCAAAAAGGTGTATCAATCTTGGGCATAATTTTATAATAAAACAAAAATACCTTCACTTAAGCAGGGTCTTTTTACCTGTAGCACCGTGACTGCATGGTTTCTTTGAGGTTCTGGATGACAGAATTAAAGAAGCATTCCTCCATGGAGCAAGTCCACAATGGTATAAGAATTACATTTCAAGTAGACAGAGGACAGTGAAAGATTGCACCAATTAACACCCGCATATCACCTCGGGGTTCCAGTTGATGTATTTGGATAATGCCAGGCCAAAACATTTGGGGAAACTCTCTGGAGGAAACGAGGGCCATTTTCACTCTCGTACACGCTCCTCAAATGAAGGAGCGGACAACTTATCAAGCTCCTTTGAGCAGGAATTGCTTCTAGCACCTTCTCATTTGCATACCCAGTGGAGCTCAAAAGGCAAATGTGCAGCAGTCACCACCTCCTGTCTGCCTCAGCTCCAGGAACTTCTGGGTCCCTTTTCTGTAGGGTACAGAATAAACCTGGAGCCTCATGCTGCGGACAAGAGGGAAAAGGGTGAGGAGACTAAACATACTGCATGCTACGTGACTTGGCATAACTCTGCTAATGAGTGGTGAAGAGAAAAGGGTCATTAAACCTTCGAAGTCATGGTTTGCAAGGACATGATGTGTCTATATGCACAGGAACACGCAGAGCTCCCTCTGAGTGGTGACCACTTCTTCATAGCCATGGGTAACCTTCTGTCTTTAGAGTCATCATCTCCTCTATCCTGTGACTGACAGGTAATGAACATGTAGTGTCTGCCACCTTTTTGACTGAGCACTGGGCACTGACTGCATATCTCATTGATCTCTCTTAACAACCTTTGAGGCTATGGTGATGTCCACCTTGCAGAGCAGGAGACTGAAGCCAGGTAGGCTGGGCTACTCATTGGAGGTTTCACTGCTACGTGATGGGACAGGGATGTGAATGCAGGCAGCCTCATTCTAGTGTGCACTTTTGATCCTTATTCTATTCCATCTCTCTGGGTCTTTTTATAGAGAGGCAACGAACGAGTGCTCCCTACTGCTCCTTGCCCTCCGGCAGAGGCTAAGAGAGGTCACTGAAGTCTTGATGACTCTGCCTGGACTTTTTAGCACAGCCGCAAGACACATCCCACCCTGCACACAGAACTGATTTCTTTCTTCTCCCCATACAAATCAGCGGCTGGCTGGGCTTGTCGCCCTCTGTACTTCTGACTCACTTTCCTTCTCCGCGAGATTATCCCTTAAGATCCAGCTGGGGTCCCAGCTCCTACGTGAAGCTATCTGGGGATTTCTCTTCCCTTCCCTTCACTGATTTCGCTTCTCCAGAAAATTCCCATAGTACTCCCTGTGCTTCACTGTATTCGGTGGGACATCCATGGCTCAGGGTCACTTCATGTTTTCATGTGGAATAACTGACGCCCCACCTGGCCTCCAGAGACTGTCTTATACTTCTCTGCATCCCTCACTATGCTGGACATACGGCAGGTGCTCAATAACTGCTTATCTGGTTAAGTGACTTTTTTACAGAGACAGATAAGAGGCCAGGCCAGGATGGAGGTGGTCCAAGCGGAGATGCACAGGCTTCGGCCTTTCTGGAGCTTACCTTTTCTTTTCCTGTGGTACCTTCCCCATTACATGGCCAAGGGAGAAAAGGGAAACTCAACCACAGCTGGGGGGATGGTGGGAAAAGGGCACTTTGGGCCTGGCCAGACATTATCTGTGCATTTAGAAGATCAGCCACCATAATGTGTAGTCATTGCTCACTTCAGCCTGCAAGGCAAGGACGATGACAATGGACCAAATCCTGCTGTCTACCCAGGCCTGGAAGTCTCGGCAACCTAAACTGTAAGTGAGAACAATCTTCTGCAGGCAGCCAAGCCAGTCCTCCACGGCTCACGTCTTTTTATGAAAGGAGAAAGAACTTTAAATGAAGAAGGTAGAATGAATTGTTAAGACACAAAATCCCAAAGTAAGAGACAGGTGGAGCAGCCAACACAGGGAAGTTGGTGGGGTGGGGGGTGAGAGAGGGGATGAGTGCAGGAGACACGTCCACAGGAGCAGCCTGTTCCCGCGGGCCCACCACGACAGCTCGCACACCTGCACAAATCGCTGAGTCCACGCAGGAGCCCAGACTCAGCCACGGCACCCGGCTCACCTGTCCACTGAGAGTGGGGAAGAGAACAAGGACAGGAAGGATGAGCGGAGGAGGAGAGAGAACGCGGTCCCCAGCAACCCAGCCGGCAGCATGGCCTAGCATCTGCCGCCAGCATTCTTGGCCCCGCACACGGTCCTAAGGAGGAAGCTGGGACCAGAGGCCCATCTCTTCTCTCACTCGGTGGCGTCCGTTAAGAAGTCCATAAAGAGATTAAAGGATCACTTTGTAACATTAATTTTTTTTATTAAGAAGACAGATATTTTATAGTACTTCTTTTTTTTTCTTTTTTTTGTAAAAATGGTATACATGAACCAATACAAAATGCGAATGGGAACATAATGGATATGGAGTTTCTTACACCGTAACATTGTCCATGTACACCTTAAAACAGAACTGGCCTAAAGGGAAAAGTAAGACGTCGGTGTGACTAAAGAACAAGCTTATTTGGCATCAATTATACATCCTTCATTATTTTATATTCCTTTAAAAACACAAAAAAACAAGTTTGTTCTTTCTTCACTCGAAAAAAAGCGACCAACCTGTACAAAGTAATACTCAACAATACATTTCAAACAGTGCACTGTATACTTAAGAAAAAATACATAAACCAATATACAACTAAAATCCATAATTTCCTGTTTTTGCTTTGTTTTATTATTATTTTTTTTCCAATGTGTGGGGCCTACACTTTGCAATCTACCTGAGACGGAAAACACCAATCGAAACACATGAACCTGAGACATGTCAACATTGTAAGCCATAAAGTTACATCAGGAACACTGCACTACTGTACACTTTTCAAAACAGAAAGATGGGAGGTCCCAAAAATGAGATGCCAATTCTGTGAGCAATGGTGTGATTTTTTTGTTTTTTGTTTTTTTTTTTTTTTTCTAAAAAGAACAACTGAAAAAAACTTTTCAACAACATGCTAAATGATTCTCACCCTTGGATGTGGTTACACTATGGTCAGAATGGGTGCTAAGGGCTCGGAATAGAGCTGCACGTTATAAAATTCATTGAAAAAGGGATGTTCGTTGTGGCTTTTCGTCTTGGTTAAGTGCCTAGGGACAGGAGAGGGGTAAATAAAATGCTGCTCAATAATGGGTTTTCTTTTACATACCAGTCCGTTCCCAAAAGGCCCCCATATTGCAATGCTTCTATCAAAGGTTAAAATAAAAACAAGAAAAATAAACACGTTTTCAAATAACAAAGAGTTGACACTTTTTTCCCCTTAAATAAATCAGCATAAGTTTTCCACATAATGTAACAATAGTAAAAATGCACCTTGCAAAATCCAAAATTACTCACTGAAAATGTAATAGAATATATATTTATATATATATATATATAGATCTATCTTTTTTGATGCCATCTTTCCATAGGGACTGTTATCTGGAGTCTGGAGCCTTACCAAACATATGGTAAGAGTTTAGTTTTTGTCCTTCAGGACTACTTCTAGATTTCCTAGACATTTCAGTGAAAATCCCCACACTTCTTTAAAAAATGTAAATGGCAACTTGGACTCCTCTACCTTTTCCCGAGGCTCCCCATCTAAGATATGTTCAAGGTAATTGATTTTAGTAGCTATGCACTATGGCTGCCATCATGCGAGGATCAGTAATTTTTGGCAGATGGTTCTTAAGGCTGAGGAAAGAGGCCAAGGCTAGTGTATGAAAGGTAAAAAGATAAAAACACTCACATTTGAGTTTTGGTTAAGTAACTGAAAATCCCTACATGCTGTTTTTCCACCTCTGCTCTGACCTATCGAGAACTGAGAGCGACAGCAGACCAGTGTGAGAACAATACCGGCCCTTCTTTTGTACCTCCTGCCTTTGTCAAGCCAAATCTGAAGGAATGAAAGTTTCACACAGATTCGAGTTGGAAATCCCAGCATGACAAATATCTGTAATATACAGTACATGCAGGCCACATCCTACTGCCTTCCTAACTAAGCACAAAGGAAAAAAAAAAATTAACCCTGTCCCATTCAGTCATTCGCACGACACACGGACTTGCTTTTTCCTACAAATTAGTGAGAAGTAAGGCCGATTGGGAAAGGTGGATGGAATCACTTGGACAGAAACAACCAGAGCAGAACTATATTTCCCCCCTCCCTACTTCCCCTCCTGTGGCAACTCAAATTTGTCCACTTATATAAAAGGAACAGACCTCACCTGTCAGGTCTGTTTAGGGCATGGAAAAAGGAGGAGTCCTTTCCGCCCCAAGCCTTTCTGGACAGCGTGGGGTATCTATACTGAGCCGTCTACAGATACAGAATTAAAGACAGATTCAATCTCATTGTGACACACCTCACTTGCAGATAACCCTGTACAGTAATGTAGTTCCACAGCAAACAGAACATTTTCTGAATCACAGTCTAATTTTCTAGTCTTCACTGCTCTAAGTATTTGAAACATGGGCAGCAGCAAAGAGTTTTCATTGTTTGTTCACCCAAATCTTTACGACAACAGAGAAGAATGCATTATGGATACACTAAATTCTGAACTATGAAATCTAAGCTGTGCTGGTTCTCCTTTTATGAAACTGAATTTGGAACAGAAAGCAGTTACCACAAAAATAAACAAAAGAAAGTAAAAATAAGAACAAAACAGGGAAGGAAAAGAGTCTAAGGAATCCCAGCAGGCAAATTCCAAAATGGGAGATTTTGGAAAAAATCCAAAATTTGGGGGGGACGGGTATAAATGTGCACAAAGGGAGAAAAAAAAGGAACGCAACAAACAAACAAAAAACAAGGCACAGAATTTTCTGCAATCTACTGAAACTAAATCCAAGTATCCAAGTTTGACTTGGTAGGAAGAAATAAAAATTAAACAAATTAACAAACAAACAAAAAAAGAGGTGTCAAACAGCAGAGTGTACTTTCCAAAGAACATTTTTTTTTTTTTTACACAGCAAATCCCAAGCCTTCCCAGTCTCACACCTTTCCACCCATTCATAAAAAAACACACGAATTTCTCGCAAGTTCCAATATCACTGTCTCTTTATCATCTAAATAGGGCCAGTTGGACACCTCATTGAAACAAAAAGGCTGATCTAGATGAAGTACTCTTTCTTTTCTTCGGAGTTGTTCTGTCCTCCTTCTGCATTGATTATAGCTGTGTCTGCGTCTGCTGCGTCATCGGCTCCTTTGGCTTCATGAGTGAAGTATGTACCTGAAAGATGAAGGGGTAAAGCACCGTGACTGTCTGATGGCCTCTGTGTAAAGTGGTACAGAGATGGCAACTTGCTTTATGGCCATCATCAGCCGAAGTGGTGTGCAGGCAGCAGAGGGGAAAAAACAATTGGAAGAAGAGAGCGGGGTGGGTGAGACAAATGGGGATCCGGGGGTTCCAAAGGCACCACTCCAACTGAACCGCTGCGATATAATTCAGCAAATGAGACATTAGAGCAGTGATTATGACCAGAGGATGTCAGCAGAAGAAGACGTGAATGGGAGCTAAAAATGCAGAAAGCTGGAGAGCTGCTGACTAACGTATAAACAGTAAACACCAATGACCAGATATATGCACGTACATGGTTAAAGACCAAAGCAAGGGAAGAGCAATTAGCCAATAAATGAATTAGGGCCCTGATGATGCTTCTGTCGTCATCTCAACTCATTTATCTGAACCACAGTCTCCTGTCTTTATGAAACATTATTGCCTATGCATAGGTGAGAATGTGCTTGAACTTGCACAAGTGTGTTTGATTTTCCTATGTCTTCCAGGTTAGAGTGAGGTTCCAGATTGAGAAAGAATTTGACATTGTAACGGCTGGGGTCAGGGTTTGGGAACTGTCTTAATGAGCAAGTGAGTCTCTCTCATTATGTAACTCTAGCCTGGACCCGGATTCATGGATTTGCTAATTGGCACAGCCACTTTATAATGACATTAGACAGATGTTACAAAGTTAGGGACACTCTTATCACCAAATCCCAACAGTTTACATGGAGAACGACAAAGACTGCACCTCAGTATGCTATATAGGTAGAACTTAAACTGCCTGCCATAATCAAATAATCTTCCTCCTGTTACATACTGTATTCCTGAAGAGTCTTCTACTTAAAAGGGTTGAGACATTCGCTATATTTTCAGGTTTTCAAAGTGACAAATCTGAGAAAGCAAGCGGTCAAACGCTTCTCGGTACCCTTTTTTCCTGCTGTAGAGTGACACACATGTTCCCTTACCCTGGTCCTTCACAGCTGCTGCTCAGATGCTGTGCTCTTTGGCCTTACCTCCTGTCTCTATCAAGCTTACCACCGAGAGGCTGGGAGTTCTTGGCCAAACAGACTGCCTCCTGAGTGTGGGCCGAGGGTGAAGTACGGACAGCTCTGATTGTCCTAAACTGTTTTATGCTTGAGACAGGCACTCTGTATCCTAAAGGTGCTTAAATACCTTAGACCTCCACTGCTGTGCTCAAGGGACCTTCCCCCAAACCCAAGTTCAACAATCAAGCAGTATGCAAGCACCTAGAAAACTCTGCAAGCTCACTGCACAGTGCTTGAGAAAAATAACTGAGAGAGACAAGGGCGGACAAAGAAAAGGAAGAATAAATTACCAAGAGAGGAGAAGAGGATCAGAGCAGCATGGGGCAGAGAGGAGGGGCATTGGAAAAGATGATTGCCCATCCAGACTGCACAGTTGATAAGTGTGATGATTAATGGCAATTTAAATCAATTGCACTAATTTTAAAAATACATATTTATGTGGCTTTTAAGGCAAAAAAATTTCTTTAACCTGGGCACATCAAACCAAGGAAGTCTTCTAGCCACTGTGACCAGCTTACTCAGAGTCTGGGGCCAGAGAACAGGGGGATCCCCTCTGCCTCATAAAACAGTAGGTTGTGGATGCGCTTTTTCCATGTTTATCCTTTGGGGGTTCATGCCACATCTTGCACACCAGCCTCTACTTTATCATTTTTCCTGTATCCCCAGTTATGGATGGCAGAATAACAACTCTACAAAGCTTCATATTTAGAGAAAATCCGAATCAAGGAGTGCTGCTCATCAACTCCCAGAGTCCTAATCAGCGGCTGCTAAGATTTCTGGTTTTTTTTTTTTTTTTTTTTTTCCCTCTTCCAGTTTCAGGAATCAAGAGAGGCCATGTGGCCACATACATCAAATTGCCTATCAAGAACAACCTTGTAAAGTCTCCAAAGGCAGAAGCTGGGGGGACACGCTGCTCCTGCCTGCCGAAGCCTTGCTTACCTTTATGTCTGGCAAAATAGCGCCCCAGAATGATGAGCAAGCACAGCATGGCGAACACCACCACCGCAACGACGCCACCGATCACGGCATGATCCACTGCCCTGATCGAGCCTTCTTCACCTGCTCGGGAATCTGTTAAAATCAGAAGAGGAATAGGGATGTAGAGCTTACTACAAGTCACCAGAAGCCCCGGCGACACTGTCTCCAGGGTCAGAGGGTCACCTTCTTTTTTAATGGAGGAGTCAGAGAGGACAATCGAGATGGATCGAGTTACACTGAGGGAACAGGCTGACCTGTCCAGTGCTGAACTGATCTGTTCTCCCCAGAAGGCAATTTCATGATAAGCAGCATAGGAGGGTTAATGCATGTGGAACAAGTTTAGGGAGGCAGGGAAGGAAGAAATAGTCTACCTGGCCCTGACCTAGTCTTAGCGTTCTCTCTATCTGTATCCAGTTGCAGGCCTAATTAAGGAGGTTGACCTGACTATTTGAGGATGCTCTGAATGACACCTTAAGGCAAGGATGGAGAATCTTTCTATAAATGCCCAGTGACTTTTATTCCCTGATAGATTAGGTATATGCATAGGAAAAGCAAGGGACTCAAAAGCCACGGCTGCCTCGAGATAAAACAAGGATTATAAGACTAAAGACAGATGACAGGCTTGCTACATTTAGGATGTATGAGGGAGTAAGCCTCAATTTAAAACCTAAAAACCTATTTCAAAAGAGACAGCAAGGAATAATTGTCCATTGGCACAGACGGTTTTTATTTTATTTATTTAACACCTTGCAATGCAATTAATTTTCCTTTATAAGCATCACTCCCTCAGGATGTCTTCCTCCGACTGAGGAACGACATGTTTGGCTGGGGAACAACTCCAGAATGAACCCAGAATGAGCTATGGCGATGCAGAATGGATGTATGGTAGTGTAAACAATTTTAATTTAGGAATGTGGCTACATCACCCCTTGCTGAAATCCTAATGGCATCCGAGATTTATAATGTAGTAAAAAACAATTATTCTCCCGTTGATTAATACATTAACATTTTGGAGTGGAAGCTAAACCATTGTCTTTTTTTTATTGAGTCAAGTACGACACCTCCATTAAAATGATTTACTAGCTGTACCTTACAATTTAAGCACAGCAGCAACAGAAACGGTAAAAATCTTTTAACTTTACATGATTTGTGAAGTCATATGTGAAGGATTTACCATTTGAATCTTTCAGTACAAGAAGCACATGGCCTATAAATCTGTCCCCCTTGCAGTTGCTGGACGCCTAAGAGAAATGCATTTCACCAGGAAGACTGAGAGTGCAAATTCAAGTCAATTTTTAAGAAAGATTTATCTCTGTCTCTCTCCAAAGAACAGAGCAAATCTCTGAAGCCTCCACCTCTAATAATATTTGAAGTTTATCGATCAAGTGTACAGATCCGTGACAGCTAAAGGTAATGGTGCTCTTTTGAGCCGAAACCTGATACAACACTTTCAGCAGGAGGGCATGATTTACACTTTCTATCGATATTTCCAATTCTGCTCTGAGATTAAGTACTGAAGGATGCGGGGAAATAACTCGTGACTGAGGGTTCCATGAAAAGTGCTTTAATTAAAAGAGTTTAAATTTTAAAACGAAATATTTAAAGTGTTTCATTAAGTTATCTTTGAAAGGACTACAGAAAAACCCAAACCCAAACCCAGACAGAAATGCCAAATCAGAGGCAGCAGCAGGTCGCCCAGGACAACAGGATGATGGGAGTTTAATTGGAGAAGGGAGCTGGGTTGGAGGCAGAGTGCACTGCAGCCAATTAGCCGGCTCCGAGCCGAGCGAGCCCCTCCAGCAATGTGTCTAATAAGCTCAACTTGAAGTGTGGTGGAGAGGAATATCCCTCCTCAGCCAAAAGTGTTGCCGACCGCAGATGCTACAGCCCCCATTGTCTTGAAAGTCATTTCAACAAGGCAGAACTCAGCCAAGGGAAGTTATTTTTTTTTTCCTTTTTAGAGACGACAGAACTCGTTGAAGGGGAGCATTCCCCATGGGGTGCTGCTGGACACGGGGTGTCTGCTGGAGGAGAGTGCTTGACACACTGGAGATGTTCAGTCCAACTGCACAGAAGCAAAATTGCTCATGGGGGACAAAAGTAACAGAAAAGACAGCAAGTTGGGTTTTCCTTAGGGAGCTGTCAAAATAGGGAATCTTGTGGGAATGAGAATTAACTCATCTCCAATGGCCATGAGCTTCAGACCTATTAAAATTTATGTGTCTTTCAACGCACTCCGTGTGTCTTAAAATTGGGGGAGGAAAACAAGTGAGACTAGATAAGGATGGAAAAGTTAGGCACAAGAGGCAAGAGGTGAAGAGGCTCCCATTCTAGGAATACTGAGAACAGAGAGAAGCTTCGAGAAGCTGTCCAGAACAGTTCTAACCCATTTAGGGAAAGGCACTCTCTTGTCTGCTCTTAATAAAAGACTGCCTCCCCTCCATGACTAGACACAGAATATTCTGGAAGCCTAAGGGAGGAGAGGGAGGGGAGAGACAGAGAGGCTCTGTGACAAAGAAAAACAAACAAAACCCTCCCCCAAACAAAAAGACCTCACAAGGCATGTATCTGTGGGATTAATTTCTTGAGCCAAAACTGTTCACTTGACCTTTGCTCTTCATGAACTTTGAGCTAAATATGCTCAGTGTTGCTATTTTCCCCTGCACTTTGCCCAACTTCAGTACTAAGGTTCTCATTATCTTGCCCACCCTCAAGGACATACATATTTTACAGATACTTATTTATAAGGGTAATCTCTCCAACTATCTTCTGATACTCACTTTGATCAGAAAGTTTACTACCACCAGTTAATCACCAAGACATTTCTCCTGCCTTCGATTACTGCAGATGGACACAGAAGGTAACTGATGTTTAATTTACAGGGAACACTGTCCGTTACGAGCGCCTCGCCGCCTCTTCCCACCCCCACTCCCACCCCCTGGGATTATGTGGGAGGTGTTAATAGAGTTGTGCCTGTTCACTGAGTGCCTCTGTCTTGGCCTTCTCTATGAAAAGCAGAGATGTTTCTGGAGTCATCTCAGTCCGTTATTTCCACGTGTGGGGAGGGTGGGTGAGTGTTCATAATGCTATGGATTGGCTCAAGGCAGCAGGGCCCGGGTGAGCTGCTTGCACCTGCGAGCTATGTCTCACTCGTGACATGAAGCAATCGTGTAAGATGCTGCCCGGAGGGGCGCTCAGCTACTGGAGTCACACGAAAACCAGAAACGGAAGGAAATACCGACCACCAAGAGAAGCACAGCTCTGACCAAGTGTGTCAGTTGCTTGACCTTTCCTCCCATTACCAAGGCAAGGACTCTGACCAATTCCATGAGAAGTTACTTCTAAGTGGAAAGGCTATGGGTTTCCCCATCAGTACCAGATCCTGCTCCTTTAGGGTGCAGACCTCTTCATTCAGGTCCCATGAGATGCTGGCTTTCCTCGGGACATCCTCTTCAGATTCCCAGCTCGTGTTTTGAATCAGGTGGGCAAGGAAACCAGAGGCAGATTCTACAGCTGCCCCCAGCTTGTCAATTGAAAAATAAATGTGGGAGTGGAAAACACTTTTAAACATGCCCGATGCTCAGGCATGTGGACATCTCTTCGGTTTAGCAAGTCATGTTTTCTTGTTCCCTAAGAGGCTGCAAGTGTTCCTCTTACTAGTAACAGGTGTAAGAGTGTTTCTATTCTGGGACTAAGCTCTGTTCCATCATCCTGAAAAGTAAAGCCATGTTTTTGCTTGGTGAATGGTTACCAAGGTTATTCCAGCCTCAAAGAACCAAGCATGATGGCATAACACAGTCTGACTGAAGAATCTCATCCAAATCATTTCACATGTGACCTCAAGTGAGTTAGGCCTAGTCACTGAATGATTCTGACTTGCAGATGCACAGTGTCAAGGTTGGGAGGTGTTCCTGACAGCTCACAGTTGTGGTACAACCCTCCCTGCCCGTCCTGTCCCATCCTGCAGCCACTTCCATGGCTCTAAGTGTGACAGATAAATCATTAGCTGTTTAGTATTCGTGAGTTAGCTTTTCTTTTGGCAAAAAGCTGAAACAACTTGGCTCCAGGTGAGAGTTTACAAGCTGTTTGTGGAATGTTAAGTTGGCTACTACTGTTTGGGTCACAGCTTCAACAACCCTGGGCTCGCTTTAGTGTCTCAGAAATTGCGGGACAGTAAAATCTCAAAGCAGCTCCCAAGAGTGATGCCCCAAACTGCTCAGATTTCTTTACCTTGGGCCAGTTGACCTGGCCCGATTCATTCCTCATGGGCAATATGAAGGGGAACGTTCTAAAGGCAGTAGTTCCCCAGGGCCTGATAAGAAAGGTGACTGCTAGTGGAACTTCAGTCTCCTTTCCCCCTCCTTCTAGGAGACTTCTCTTTCTCTACTTGCTTTCACTCTTCAAACTCCTTGCCAGAGTCCTCTTAAATGCGGCACTCTGGCAGCCATGCTGCCTGTATTAAACAGGGCTCTGCAAGAGATCCTGGTTTCTATGGCTACTTTACCACTTGGCATGAGATGTGTAGCATAAACCGCCATGCAAATGCCATAATCATGGATCTGTGATAAGCCTAGAAGGCTCTGTTGCCAAAGCAGGGATCCATGGTTAACTGGAGAGTGGCTAGTACATCCTAGACAAGCTCCTGGCAAATAGGGACTTTGGCAGAAGGACTCACTGAACAGAATCTTCACTGCAACTGCTGCCTGCCCACCCTGAAACCCTCGGCTACACATAGTCCAAGGTCAGTCTTTGTGCCAAAAGGACACCAAGTTTTCTACCTCTAAGGAGTGAAGGGTGACACGGTGATACACAATAAAGTATGCAGCATGAGGCATGGCAGTCACACTGCACTGGGTCACTCTCTCGTCTCAGACATCCCCGGCTCAGGCTGGAAGGCACATTTAGCAATGTGGTGCTTAAACGCACACTTTGAACTTTTTTCATAGGTCATAAACCACCATAGCTCTCATCTTTAATATTTGAGCCCTGGGGAGGTTCTAATGATATTAGTCCTCCTATTTCTATTGAGGGACGGTTCAGATGCTCAGCGTTCTGCGCTTCCCCCACCTGTGGATGGCGGGAGGGAAAGAACT